TAAGAAAGAGAGATAATAATAACTTTAAATAAATATTAACATTCTGCACCCCACTCTATATAAACTATAGTTGTGTGAAATCACATGTTCTTCCGTCCGCGCATATTTTGTAAAAAGTTGTGCAACATATTGTTTGTTATATTTATAACGGCCTTTCCTGTATATTTTCGGTGAAACTTTCTACCTCAGCTCCCAGCAATGATTTTTCGACCCGATACGTTATTGAAAGTATTATGAGTAAAACATAAACATCCAACAATACACCTTCAATTAATCGTGTATTGCAAATGGTTATGGCCGGCAATAATTACTTATCAAGATGAGCTAGATTAAATAAATGTAGGTTCACAAAATATAATAATAACAACAATAATAACCCTGGTCAATTAACACAGCCTCATCTAGTCCAAATCTAAGCAGAGTTTGTGTTATGAGTACTAGATCACTGAGACAAATATTTAAATACATTTTTATTATATAAATGCGTAAATAAATGTACGTAGAAAAAATATTTGTACCGTGCGATTGTGTAATAGAACTCGTGACCATTTGAAGTAAAGAGGTCCGCTAAACTACGGAGGCACAATTTTTGCCAAAATGGCTTATAACTGTAATTAATGGTAACATTGAAGTATTACTCAGAGTATTAACCGAGTAGCTACAAGTTTCCTGTCAATGTAAATAAATGTCGATGTTTAAAACGGCAATACTCATAATCGTATAAAGTATATATTATTTTTCTAATCGTTATTTCCAATTAGAAAAATAATATATATTTTTTATAAAGATTCCAACAGTAATCCTAGCTAAAGATATACTGAACGCCTGAATAAAACATACCTATATAATATTGTCTAAGACGTTAGGTATTGTTTTTTACAAGTGTATGCAACCTCTTTGCTACATTGTATTATATTATTTTTAAGATTAGAACTTAGAGCTCTCGAATTTTAAATACATTAGGTAAGTCATTCATAAATGTATCATTGGAGGGAAAATACAAATACTTTACAACAGTACAAAATATTCGGTTTAAATTCATAAAAACAAGAGTATAATATCATCATCATCGTCATCATCGCAGCCCGGAAGACGTCCACTGCTGGACTTAGGCCTCTCCCAAAGACCCCACGACGATCGGTCCCGCGTTACAATGCCTTCCTTTCTTGACCAGATCGTCGGTCCACCTTGCTGGAGGCCTTCCCACGCTGCGTCTCGAGTACTTTATTGCCCCAAAGGCCATCTGTCCTACGAGCTATGTGCCTTGTCCTTTGCCACTTCAGTGTCGCATTTCTTCGTGCTACGTCGGTCACTCGGGTTACGATATTTTTTACTGCTTAAACAAAAAGTTTCTATTAATGAATAGATGTTTGTTGAAGAAAGATAGACAGAAAACATAAATAGAAACAGAAAATATGTCAGAGTAACACATACTTGTAGTTATACTAACATGTCATGCATACACATACAGCTATATCGCGCTCGATAGATAATTGTTTAATTGTACTGCTTCTCTTCATAAATGTGTTGTGTCAAAGTGTCGTAATATTATATTAATAAATAATTTATATAATACCTAAAAATCAAACATTATAATCTGGATAAATATAACCAGATCAAGGCTGCAACTAAGTGCTCAATGTACCCGGAAAAATGCAGTCAGCAACGAATGGCGCCGTACTACCAAAAACCTCACTCATCGTGATTCAAAATGACGACCACGACCACTCTGACAAGATACTGACTAAGAAGAAGAACATTATAATAGTTTATTGTGATCGTTATTTTAACAACAAATATGAAAACTGTAAATCACGTGGTCTTGCTGACTTGTTTATTAATCTTTTTTTTTCAAACTACTCATCGCATAGGCAAGACCGCTTGATTTACAGTTTTCTTATTTGTTGTTAAAATTACGATCTCAATAAACTATTATAAAATTACTACAATTGACATTTAGGTTGGTATTATATAAATTACTAGCTGTCCCGGCAAACGTTGTTTTGCCATATAAATTAATAACGCTATAAAATAGGGGTTGGTAGAAGTTAGAAGGGTGAAAATTTAGGATTGTATGTATTTTTGTACGTTGTATCATAAAAAATTAGAAAGTCAAAGTTTATCTAAAAAAAAAATTTATGGGTGGACTACCCCTAACATTTATGGGGATGAAAAATAGATGTTGGCCGATTCTCATACCTACTCAATACGCTCACAAAATTTCATGAGAATCGGTCAAGCCGTTTCGGAGGAGTATGGGAACGAAAACTGTGACACGAGAATTTTATATATAAGATTAAAGCAAAAACATTTTCAACTAGTGTAAAATAAAGATTTTGAGACTGGGCCAGGTTTGGTATTTATAAGTCTAGTTAATCTTCACGAAATTTAACTGAAAACGTAGCTATATATGTATTAAGCTATGTTAAGTTATTGTAAATATTTATGTTTACTTTGTTAGTTGTAGTCTACAACTTAATGTGCTACCGTCGTCGTCGATCTCTTATTGTATTATTTTACTGGTAAACGCTATAACAGAATAGCAGAGAGGGTGGACCCCACTGAGTTATAGACCGTTATGTCTTCTTTATTATTGTATGCGCAATATAAAAAGATATATATATATATATATATATATATACACTTGTCATTGGAGGGTAAGATATTGTTAGTAATATAGACTAATGACCTGATGACTAGCAATGTACCATATCGGGTTAACTGTCTCACAATCTGTCTCTATCTATATTGAGTGTATAAATGATACATGCTGATAAACGAGTGCTAATGTTGATAAGCGGTAATGGTCTACATGAACAACGCCACGGATATCATGTTATCTTGGCACAAATACCAAAAATGTTTTCCAATTACAATGAAATTTGCCTCATACATACTATAACATCTTAGTTATCGGATAGACTATTCCAGGTCAAGAAGGGAGTTCACACATCAAAATTCCACCAAATATTAACTGAGGTGTCCTAGGGATCTGTTTTGGGGCCAGTATTAAATACTATTTACACATCAGTTTTCCACAATGCAAGAGTCTAACCATGTAATAAATCTCAAGACAATTCACACAGCGCCATATAAACCTAAGTAAAGCTAGTTAAAGCTTGTGTTATGGGTACTAGATAACTGACACAAATACATAGATAATTTTTTTTTCGTAAATGTTTCAATCTTATACATAGAAAATACCCAGACCGATACAAACAATCAGACTCATGAATACAAATGTTTGTGCCGTGCGAGGAATCGAACCCGCGACCATCGGACGTAAAGCGGTGTGCTAGACCGCTAGACCACCGAGGCCGAGGCCGTAAAATATATGGGATAGTGATCCCATTCATAGCAATGTACCCTGGCAGATGACCTTAGTTATCGATAAATTCACCAGAACCAAACAAAGAAGTTGATAGAAAGATAATGATAAGAAATTACTCAGAAAACCAACATGCACGCATACTCCTCGAGTCATATTTTTAAACTCATATAATAAAAATAATAATAAATAAAAAACCTTTCGGTTTCCTAAAATAGCAAAAATGTTACATTTACTAATTATTTATTCACATATCATATTATTGATCCTTTATATATCCTATTTGTTATTTAATTATATTATTATTTCTATTCTATTATTTTATTTACAACTAGCTACTCGGCCCGACTTCGCACCGGTGTACATGCATTATTATATTTATAACGCTATATAAAAAAACGCTTCAAAATCCGTTGCGTTGTTTTAAAGATTTAAGTTAACATAGGGACGGACAGACAGCGACAGCCACTTTATTTTATACTATGTAATGATTAGCTAAGTAGCCAACCAAGCAAAAAGAATTCTTCGTGTCTTAAAACAGATTTGTTATTCGATTGTTTAAATTGTTTAGATACGACTTTCTTTAATTATTTTACTAGTTTTGTGAAATGAAAATAAAACATTACGTACTCAGTAAAGTAAGATACTCTATACAAAAATCATAACTTACGCTGTTTTATCTAACGGACGCAATTGACGCATGCGCCGTTTGAGGGTTAGGGATGAACGTCTATTCAGAAGGTTCGGTTATCGATAAACAATTAGTTATATATATATATATATATATATATATATATATATATATATATATATATAACTATATATAATATATATTATAATAAGGCGGTGTGCTAAACGTAATTTTTTACGGCAATATGTCGTTTAAAAGTTTTGCTATCGCGCTTCGGTGAGGAGCTACGCAAGCCCCGAACAGGAATAGAAAGAATACTAAACTACCCTCCTTTTTGTCTTCTTTTTTCACATCAATCATGATGTGATGGTAGAGTGCCGCTCCCAATAGAACAGCCCCTTGTTCTTTAACCTCAGTCTCCAGTCTGAGTATCTTGGTCAAATATATCACGCCTTTTCTTTAATCGTAGCACGTTTTTGAGTATTGTAAGTTGCCCAATGAATTTATTTGGGTGCCTTTGTAGTCGCCATTTGTATTTGTTGCCGTATTCAGTGATTACATCCTTAATAATGGATATATCATGTATGACGGCCTCGGTGTTCTAGCGGTTTAGCACACTGCTTTATTTCCAATTGTCGAGGGTTCGATTCCTCGCACGGTGCCACCATTGTTTTCATGAGTATGATTGTTTGTATCGGTCTAGGTAGGTATTTAATTATATAAAAAAATCTCTAAATATTTTTTCTGATGTCTAATAGACTGTAGTGTAATCTGCTTACCATGGGACTAGATGGTTGTGTTAATTGTCCAGGGTTATTATTATTATTTTATATTAACCTCAGTTATCCTTATAAACCACAGTTCATTCGAAAGTTGTTTTAATATATAGTTTTGAACTCTCTGTATTATCATTATGTTAGAGTCACTGGCAGAGAGCAACAGTTGCATCCCATATGTCCAGATTGGCTTATATATTTGTTTTGCCTTATAAATGAGAAGTTTACATTCCTTCTACTAGTCACTTAATATTGACTTCACCAGGAATGGGAGAAAGGAGGTAGTTGTCAGGCGAGGTGCCGGCGTATATGGGCAGTCTACCAGACTTGACGGAGCGCTCGCGTCCGTCGCCGGTCGGACGGACCGCCTCGCGGACGGTGTCCGACCCTCATCGCCACCGCGCCGTCATACCTCAGGTATTCATTTTTATTATTAGCACATTTCACACAATACCAAATTAGAGAAACACACAGACTAACACAATTCAAATTGTGTTGGTCTGTGTGTTTCTCTAATTTGGACTCGATTTTTACCATATTTCACACAATGCTTGTTTGAAACAAGCATGACACAAGCATTGTGTGAAATATGGTTTATTTATTATTTTGTTTATTCATTAGAGCAAAACACAGACCAAAACAATTTGAAGTCCTCGGTTTGTACCAGATTTAACACAATGCTTGTTTCAAACTAGAGAAACACACAGACCAACACAATTTGAAGGCCTCAATTTTTACCACATTTCACACAATGCTTGTTCCAAACTAGAGAAACACGCACACCAATACAATTTGACGGCCTCGGTGGTCTAGCGGTTTAGCACACCGCCTTACTTGGTCGCGGGTTCGATTCCTCGCACGGCATTTGTATTCATGAATATGATAGTTTGTATCAGTCTGGATGTATTCTATGTATAATAACCCAGGACAATCCACATAGTTCATCTAGACACAAGCTAAACAGAGCTTGTATAATGGGTACTAGACTAATTAGAAATACTAAATAAGTATAATATTTACAGAATATACACAAATGCCAATTCAAATTGTTATACTCATAAGAGACATGAATACTAATGATTGCGTCGTACGCCGAATCGAACCGGTGACCATCAGAAGTGAGACGGTGTGTGCTAAACCTCCAGACTAATGAAGCAGTTAAAGGTGTTTTTTTTTTCAATTATATTACAGTATAACCTGTACGGCATATTTTCTACAGATTCCAGTGAGCACGATTTGCAAGAAAGAATGGCTGTGGAAGAAACCGAAAACACCATCGAGAGTGGCACAACCGGCTGTCGTCCCTCGGAGGAGGGATTCCGCGGCATCTTCCCTCGGTGCAGCATCTGTTCGGAAGCTCCTTACCAGACAGCCACCGAAAGTGCCCAAACCAATCGTCAACCGCTTTACTCTCCTCTGTCTATCAAGCGGACTTTGTGCGACAGCCTTATTACCTTTCACAGCATTCGCCGGTGCAGAAGCCGCTGCCATGCCTCTCGCTCTAATGCACTCCATAGCTGCCGTTATTGCGCCTTTCTCTCCTTTAATCCTTCAAAAATTAGGAGCACGAATTGTTATAACTATAGCCCATATATTGGTCTTTATTCTGATCACTGCACATACAGTAGCGACGCCATTATCAGTAGCCATTATTATTGCTAAAAGTTGCATATAGATGGCGTGATTGGTATCGGTGGAATTCTTCATAGTTTTGCAAACGTTTTAAAAAACAAAACTGTGTTTTCAAAACTGTTTAATCAATTTTTAAAAAGTTATATATACATGTTAAAATGAAATAATGCGTGTAGAAAAGTAATTTTCATATATTTACTCATTTTGTTATTTTCCAGTACTTAATTACACTTTAATCAGTGCTAATATGGGGCTCAATGTTTTCAAAATGCTTTCATAGATGGCATTGTCGTCATTTGTATCGGCCTAATTAAATGTCTTTTTTATATTTTCCAATAATAAGCACTTAATATATTATTATTGTAAATTAAACATATAAAATTTTTTTAAGTAAATTAAAAATAGCCGAACAAGCAAGTAATACTATTTCCAATAATACTTATGTATGAAGTGTTGTCATATTAAAAATAAATACATGTATTATCGATTTTTTTGAATAATCGATAACAGGATTTTATTACAGCGCATTATTCGATGATGCTTTTAATGAGTCGTTGTGAACAGTAAATTTTCATTATTATGTATTATAGCAGTGTTCCGTTTCAAAGAACGGAATATAGTAGTACATTATTAGTGTCGTTGGTTATTTACATTTGTACTGAATAATCGATTACATAATAATTTAAAATATCGAGTACGAATCGTAGCTGTCTTCGAATACTGGCAACTGGTAAGATTAAAATAGTATTTAAAAAAAGAGAGAAATCGACCCTAACTCGAATACCATAAAGTTGATTTTCCTTTCTCATTAATATATCATAGCAGTTTGTTTTTAACTTGCGTATGACTCTGTGGTATGATGTTTAACGTGTATTGTTATTGTACGGTGCATACATTTCAAAAATTATATTTTAATGTAGGTACATACATTTCTTTCATACATTTCATACATGTCAAAAATTATCTTTTAATGTAGGTACACACATTTCATGCATGTCAAAAATTATCTTTTAATGTAGGTACATACATTTCATTCATACATTTCATACATTTCAAAAATGAACTTTTTATGTAGGTACATACATTTCTTTCATACATCTCATACATTTAAAAAAATATATTTTAATGTAGGTACATACATTTCATACATGTCAAAAATTATCTTCTAATGTAGGTACATACATACATTTCTTTCATACATTTCATACATTTCAAAAATGAACTTTTTATGTAGGTACATACATTTCATACATGTCAAAAATTATCTTTTAATGTAGGTACATACATTTCTTTCATACATTTCATACATGTCAAAAATTATCTTTTAATGTAGGTACATACATTTCTTTCATACATTTCAAAAATGAACTTTTTATGTAGGTACATACATTTCTTTCATACATCTCATACATTTAAAAAATTATATTTTAATGTAGGTACATACATTTCATACATGTCAAAAATTATCTTCTAATGTAGGTACATACATACATTTCTTTCATACATTTCATACATTTCAAAAATGAACTTTTTATGTAGGTACATACATTTCATACATGTCAAAAATTATCTTTTAATGTAGGTACATACATTACTTTCATACATTTAAAAAATTATATTTTAATGTAGGTACTACATTTCTTTCATACATTTCATACATGTCAAAAATTATCTTTTAATGTAGGTACACACATTTCTTTCATACATTTCATACATGTCAAAAATTATCTTTTAATGTAGGTACATACATTTCTTTCATACATTTCAAAAATGAACTTTTTATGTAGGTACATACATTTCATACATGTCAAAAATCATCTTCTAATGTAGGTACGTACATCTCTCTCATACATTTCAAAAATGAACTTTTTATGTAGGTACATACATTTCTTTCATACATCTCATACATTTCAAAAATTATATTTTAATGTAGGTACATACATTTCTTTCATACATTTCAAAAATTATCTTTTAATGTAGGTACATAACACCCCATGTCAGACCCCTTGTATTTGGAAGAAACTTAAAAATAATGCCAAAAATATTAGATGAATATATTTTTAATACGAATATTGTTTTATTTTTGTTCATCAACTTTATCCCTCACTAACAATACTAGTAGTAGTACATAACCTGGTTTATACCGCTAAAGATATTGAAAGATATACGAGTAATTCAGAATGTTATCAAGTTCAAAATAAGCACACATTACTTGCTTAGATAACAGAGTAATATTACTCGTAATAAAAACATTTGTAACACCCATATGTATACTACGTATGTATAGTAAGTACTTACGCTGCGGCGCCGTGAGACTCGTCTACCTCATCTATTAACCAATAGGAGCGCGCCTCTCGTGTTTAACGGACGATATAGGAGTAAGGCAATGAGTGTCCCAGTGACATCATTATAATATTTTCTCGTTAAATTTTATTGTAATATACACAATTTCGCACTAAATAACGTGTTACCCCGTTACACATTTCTAATAATGAAAAACCTAGACCAACCCTGTTCACTTAATCTTACAAGATCTGACTTTAAAAATTACGATATCCTCATATAGCCTTTCATTTCCCCTTTCAATACTTTTTCGCATTAAAAAGTAGCCTTTCTCAGGGTCTACATTATCTGTCTACCAAATTTCAATTAAATCAGTTCAGTAGTTTTGGCGTGAAAGCTAGACAAACAGACAGACTGAGTTACTTTAGCATTTATAATATTTGTAAGAATATCGCTATTAAAAATAGGGGTTGGTGAAAGACGGGTGAAAATTTAGGCGTGTATGTATTTTCAATGTAATATTATAAATAAATAAAAAATTGTCCATAATACAAAAAAATATTTTTTCGGGGTAGGCCACCCCTATGACTTAGGGGTATAAAAAATAGATAACAACCCTACCTCAGACCTGGCAAGTATACATATCAAATTTCATCAAAATGTGGGAGAAATATGGCAACTAACACTGTGATACAAAATTTATATATAAGATATAGCGGAATTCTCATTAGGGAAAAGAGGGGTACATCGTAGAATACATGAAGTATATACCAGTAAATTAATTGTAGCTAAAACCAGTCTCTTACACATAACGATTGAAATAAAAAATCATATAGCCCGATTTTGATACGTACGAGTATAAAAGTATCAAAATCGGGCTATACGTATAGCGCAGACGCGTTACAACATATCAAAAAAATAGGCATGGAATGTAAAATAAACCATAACATAATAGGTATATACATTGGCACATAAGCCATATCTGCAGAGTGTCGGCTAACGATATTATACCTACACATTTACATTGAATCTTGAATCGTCCCTAATGAGGTACACGATACAGTTACCTACATATCTATTATATACATATCTTTGCAAAACAGATGTCATGTAGACTGAATTGACTGCCATCTATTTTCATGCTTTGTTACTAAGCACCCACTAGTAATCCGAACTGCTTCAGATCTAGCGACATCTAGCGGCTACGGTGGCGAAATAAAATAGCCCGAAGAATAGCCCGAGTTAGGAAGGAACCATTTTCTAGTATGGGATGGGGTATCTGTATGTAATATTATGTTATCTGTGGTATTGTCAACTGTCGATGTTGCAGTAAGCAGTGGGCGTCTTCCAAGTTGAAATGATGATGATACAGTAAACACAACAGTCACACAAGACAAGTCCACGTTTTACTTGGTGTGTAGATAGCACTGTGTGAATTATTCTATGTTTTTAATGGAATGGTGCACCCACTTGCACTAACAATATAAGGAGCACCAGCGGAGGATGTTAGGATGAGTATGAGGTCAAGTTTGTCGTCGATTTCGCAACATTTTTGTAAGCAAGTTGCCCATTCGTCTTCATTATTTACAATTCCGTCCACCCGGTTATTAATATTATGTTAAAATATTTCTAGATATATATAATAACTTATAAAATCTGTCTATCTGTTTGTTACTGTTACTTTTGACTTGTTACTTTTGACGATTAAACCATGATTTTAATGTTAAAGTAGAAAGTTAAAATTGATCTTATTGTTAATGATATTTGACGTGACTGTACATTGTATCACGAGTACGGACATTGGATATATTTTATCACAGACATAACAGACGAAGTCGCCCGTAAAAGCAAGTATGTAATAAATAGTAATTTACTTTCGTTTACAGTGGTACGGTGTCTGTGTGGGTGGGTGGAGCTGTGCTTGGAGAGCCTTGTTCGGTGCAGGCTGTTTACAGGTATGCAAACGCAGTAAAACCAATAGAATTGTAGCATTTCAACTTAAGTTAGAATAAATATACATATATATTGATTTGATAGCCGAGGTAGTCTCGTGGTTTAACACACTGCCTTACTTCCGATGACCGAGGGTTCGATTCCTCTCACGGTATAAACACTTGTTGTCTTGTACGCGTTGTATATAGTAACGTTGTGTGCTAAATCGCTAGACCACCTAGGCCTAAAATATATTTTAAAAAATGTACTTAAGTATTTTTATCAGTTATCTAGTGCGATGTTTCCCAATTAGTGGTACGTACCCCCGGGGGTACATGAAGTTGCATCCAGGGGTACGTGCGACTATCAGTAAAACAAACATACACACACTCACAAACTTTCACATTTATAATATTAGTGTGATTGCTACAATAAGGGGTATGCAAGGTTTGAGGTATTTTTTGAAGTGGTACGCAGCAAAAACTATTTGGGAACCAATGGTCTAGTGTGACCAATACAAGTGCTTAATTTGACTCTATAAAGTGCGGCGTAAATTGCGGAAAGTAGATTTTTTTATAAGGATTATAATGGAATGGAGCATCCGCCAACACTAACGGTTTAACCTGATGAAGAACCAGTAGTGGATGATATGTTAGGTCAGTAAGCCCCTGTTGGTAAATTGATTAGGATTTATCACGATGGTTGACCGCGTGAATATCAACCTGACAGTATACATTGCTAGCAGCAGGGTTATTAGTCCACATTACTGAGTCGCATGTCGCCCTCGAGTTACGCCTATGCCGTGGTACGTATGTAGACGAGCGTAATAATGAAATAAGCGTGCGAGTGGTACCTGTACACTAGTGATCTCTCTCTCTCTTCTTCTCTTTCAGCATAAAGTCCACTGCTGGACGTATGCCTCTTGCATAGTTTTCCACTTCTATATGTGGCGCATCCGTCGCCGTCTTTTTGAGGTCGTCAGACCATCTGGCGGTTGGTCTGGCTACGCTTCTGCTTCCCATCCTAGGTCGCCACATTAGGGATCTATATGTCCATCTGTCGTCATAGAGATGCTCGGTATGACTCAGAATGACTTCTGCCGAATACCATACATTCGGCTGGGCTTTTTTTTAATTACATTGTACAAAACAAAGTCGCAATCGCAGTCTGTACGTCCCTATGTATGCTTAAATCTTTAAAATTACGCAACAGATTTTGAAGCAGTTGTTTAATAGATAGAGTGATTCTAGAGGAAGGTTTATATTTAATATAATACATGTATACCCGGGCGCAGCCGGGACGAGTAGATAGTTGATGGTAATAGTATGGTGCGTCTGGCTGTGGGAAATGTTGCTTACGCTAATAGGCCAATAACAATCTCCTTTCCCCCTGTCAACGGTAGTTACTATGACCACAGATAACATAATATTACTATGTAATATTATATTATCTGTGATATTACCTATGACTGTATGTGCAGGCATTGATCTAACACAAACTCTGCTTAGCTCGTGACTATAAAGCGTATTGTGAATTGTCCAGGGTCGATATTATAAATGCAGAAGCAGATGCAGAGCTTGTGTTGGATAAATAAATAAATAACCCTAACAATTAACACAGCGCCATCTAGTCCCACGGTAAACAGAGCTTGTGTTATGGGTACTCCACAACTGATATGATGTAAATACTTAGTAATTTTTGTTTTTTTTTTAAATACATACATAATATATATAGAAAACACCCAGACCAGTACAAATAATGATATTCATGAATGCAAATACAGGAGTTGATCTAACACATTTCTACTTAGTTCGTGAATTGTCATGATAAGCACATTTGCAGGCACTGGCGGCGGCAACGCTGAGCATGGCGGCTGCACGGGGGCGGCGCGGCGCTCTAGCGGCGGGCGGAGCGGCGGCGCACGCGTCGCTGATGTTGGCGCTGCTGCGGTGGAGGGCCGCGCGCACAGACCTCGCATTGCCAGCTGTCGCCGCCGCCGCTTGGGGTGCCTGCGCCGCGCTCTGGGACGTACTGCAGGTCACACTTTTATCATTTTATGCTCAACCATAAATTATGATACACTTTCATCATTTTTAGACTCATACATAAATTACATCACCCGTTGGTGTGACAGAAGGGGGTTGCCTAAGTGTGACATAGAATGAAGCATTCTGCAGGTCACGCTTTCATCATTTTTAGGCTCATCCACAAATTACGACACACTTTGATGGGAGGGAAGGGGTAGCCTAAGTGTTACAAAGAATGAAACGTGCTTCCGGTCATGCTTTGATAATTTCTAGGGCTCATCCATAAATTTATTCACACGTTGATGTGACAGAAGGGGGTCACCTAAGTGTAACAACTCTGCTTGGGCAGTCGTGATTTTGGTCCCCGTTTGAATTGGACTGAATTGGGGATCGGTCAGAGGGTCGTCGGGGGCTCCGGAGTGTAGCGCCCTGGCGCGCGCAAAAAACTCTGCGATTAAAACTATTTTATACAGTAGGGAAAAAATATAATCTACAAATTTTTACATCATCAATAAATATTTTTGAATTTGAATATGATTGTTTGTTGCGTGTAAACGTTTATTTATTTATTTATTTTAGATAATCAACAGCTTATTTAAATTTATACATAATATATAGTGTTACATAGTAAAGCCAATAATACATACCTCAAGAATTTATTTTTAATATTAAACTTATATTTAAGTTAGTTATTTAAAAACGGTACAGCAGGTCAGAGCCAAAGATAAAGATCTGGATAGGTTGTTAGATATATAATAAACGTTCAGTAGATTGAACAGTGAGTGTTGCCAGGTGGGCGCGTGCGTGGGCGGCGCGGGGTGGCGCGGACCGTGGGCGGCGACGCTGGGCGCGCGCCACGTAGGCCTGGCGGCGGCGTGCGCAGCGCGACAGTTCGTTTGCGTGCGCGCGCAGCTGGCAACACTCGCCGCCGCGCTTGCCGCTGCGCTGCTTGCGCATGCCGCCCTTGAGCTGCGCCTGCGCCGTGGTACGTATGAAGAAGAGCGTAATAATGAAATAAGCATGCGAGTGGTACCTGTACATTAGAGATAGCTACAGTCATTCTGCCGAATACCGAATATTCGCTAGGCTTCATTTAATTGATGATAATGGTATGGGCATCCGCCTGGGGGAATGTTGCCCTGTCTTTACGCTTGATGGGCACCACTGGACGACGAGCAAAAGGTCAGGTCAGGTCAGGTCACGAATACAAATATTTGCATCGTGGGAGAAATCGAACCCGCGACCCTTAGAAGTAAAGTGAAGTGCTAAACCGCTAAACCACCGAAGATGTCAAAGAGTCCGAGCAAGATAGATTGTATCTATAATATCTATTTTGTATCTTAAATAATCAGACAAAGTGCGAAATAGGAGATAAAAGTTTGTGAAGAAAATGTCGGTAGTAATATCTAGTCCTATCTGTTATGTGTAATAAAATAATCATTTTTTAGGCTGTTATATGTTTATATTTATACATAAAGAAAAAGGGTTATAAGGGATTGAAAAGGAGATGAAATATTGTATGGAAGTGTCGTCATTTCCAAACCTAGAATCGAAGTTGTATCGAATTCTGTATGTAAATTTCTCATTTTTGAAGCTACAACGATGGAACTTTTTTATTTTCGCTTTTATTGGGTTAGATTATATATATATTTAACTATTTGGTCCTGGACACTATTTTACGCGGACGAAGTCGCAGCTAGTGTGTAATAAAATAATTAACTATCTATCTGATTTCAGGTGAAGCAGGTCGGCACAGGTCCTAGCGAAGGGCCACGGCGACGCAACTCGCCTCATTAGCGCCCGCGTCTGATGACGCAGCCGAGGACGGCGTCGTCGCCTGTCACGTCATTAGCTAATAATTATATGATGTGATGACACGTCTCCATAGAACAGTGATGACTATAATCAAACGACATGACGCAACTGACGTTTTAAAGCTTCAACAGTGCCACTGTGATTCTCACACTAAAGTTTACACTTTTTAATATTAAGTCGGGATATAACACGAATAATTTTATGGTAAATAACTGCCTTTAAACGATACGTTCTTTTACCCGCGATCTGTAATGCTATTCTGTATATCTCCGCGACATGTTTATAAAATATAATCGACATAACATATTTTATTTCTTTTTACCGTAATTATACTTTTATAAATTATAAAGTACACAGGAGGGCACGCGATTTAGCGCGGAAAAGCCAGGGCGCGCTACCGTAAACTATTTTTCATGTTCTATTTCGCGCGTGTTTGCGTATGTGAATCATGTCATTTAACTTTCTTTTCTTTATTCTATTACATAGATTTTACTTTCCAATACACAATTAAGATTTTAAAATTATCAATAACTCTTTAATTATGTTTTGTTCTATAGTCAGTGTCCGCCATTTTGCAGTGATAATTATTACAGACGCTAAAGTACGTACGAAAGAATGCGCGAGCTGGCGACGCGCGCGGTTTTTTTTTGTTCTCTGTGTCTAAATTTACATGCTCATTATTTCCTGCGTGAAAGACTATTAGCGCGTGAAAGAGCATACGTGTAAAGGCAGTTATTTAGGAATTTATTTATCTCGACGTTTCGACTAAGTTGCACTAGCCGTAGTCACGAGCTGACTGGAGTACAGCGATGTCAATGTCGGTAGGTGTCTGTAAGTTTTTTCTGATGTTCTAATAAATACTAAACCGACATACTCACTTACGAATTTATATTACTATAAGCATTATTTAAAAAAAAAACTTGTATCAATTTCGAAATTTTGTAATTCAACTTAGGAAATTAAATTATTGTAACTCATTATTATTCAGTTAGTAAAAAAAATCATGAAGTACAAATACATAAAAACTAAATTTTGAACAAGAACAGTGTTAAATGAAAGGCTTCCATTTAAACGATATAAGTTATTTTTCATTATTTAATGCAATATTGAACAATTAAATGATTTTATTATATTTTTTATTTTATCATATTATGCAGCATGCAAGGATCCCATTCCTCCAATGCTATACTGCCCCTGGTTCTAATAACGCAAGTTGGTCGTTTCACATGTGAAGTTACAATGAATAAAATTTTTTAAATGTAATATTTATTACGATTTGTACATTAGATTTAAACATTTAGATAATAAATGTATCTAAATGTTGAGCAAATCATATTGTTATTTTTACAATTTCATGTTTATATACCTACAGCAATTAAGTATCTAATAAACAGCTTTCATCATGGGCTGTGTTGTTTTATAAACATTCTTCTATATCTTGATGATTTGTTGATTGATTTACTTTTATAAACATGTCATATTTCAACATATCAAATAATATCGGAGTACCTATTGATAGTATCTTTCAACCAACGTTAGATATATTTATTAAATTCATGATGGATCTTAAACCAGAGAAAGCTTTGAATATTTCTAACAAAATTATACAAATAAAAACAAAAATGCCTTTGACTTACATTCTATTGTACACTGTACACAATTTCGCACAATAATTGAATATATTACAAATTTAAAGTACCTAATGATAGAGACAAAATTACCTCAAATTAGGAGCATCTTTTTTGTAATAATAACATTAAAATAAAGAATAATGATAGACATAAAAATAGTCATCTATACTAATATTAGAAAGAGGAAAAGTTTGTTTGTTTGTTTTTTTTGTTTGATTGTATTGAATAGGCTCCAAAACTACTTACTGTACCGATTTAAAAAATTCTTTCTCCTCTAGGAAGCTACACTATCCGTGAGTGTTAATATTCTTAGACAATTCACACAGTGCCATCTAGTCCCAAGCTAAGCAGAACTTGTGTTATGGGTACTAGATAACTGATAGATATACATAGACACAATTTTGTTTGTAAATACATAATATACATAGAAAACACCAATATAAAGAATCCTACTCATGAATGCAAAATGTTTGTGCCGTGCGACGAATTGAACCCCGCGAATATTGAAAGTAAAAAGTGTAAACCGCTAGATAACTGGGCAGTCAAAAGACTCACATTATAAAGTTCGGTCTGAACGAACTATTTGCAAAGACGTAGCAACCAAGGCACTAGTCGAACGGTATTATTAGCACGGTTCGTTCGGACGGAGTTTAATCGTTTAAGGAGTTTTAAGCTTATTTTCGCCACAATATACCTATCATCATTTCATCAAAATCAAAATGTCCATACCTATCCTTACTAATGATAAAAATACTCACGTGTGACTATCTATACCTTTTTATGACTAAACAAATTTAATAAAGTTCAACCATCATATAATGAAGATGAAGGATGTAGGTTGTTTCTTATCCGAAAAGCAGACAAATTAGCGAGTAATAGCTAGTTTTTCTATGAAATATTGTTGTTGATATTAATGTGTTAGATTAACTTTGTATTAATTGTAAAAGAAGAGTAAACTGACGATTGTTGACTGATACATGTTGCGTTTTATTTTTTAACCTTTCTACACCTTTACACGACCCGTTCTTTCACACCCTTCCGATCGAACCCCGTCCAATTCAAACGGGGATCGAAATTACGACGGCTGAGCCGAAGGATTCACCTTAGCGGTGCCCTCAGACTAGTCTACTGTGGTTCTTTTTTTGGGATATTTTATTATTCAGCATTTAAAATTACTACTTATTTATTATACCTATATATATGTGGAAGGAGGATTTATGCGTATTAATTTTATTAAAAAAAAATTGAAGGTGTTGACAGAACGATGTAAGACGATGTAAAGACGTAAATAAATAATTAAATATTGTAAGTCTTTTCTTCAAGTCCACTCACGATATTACCACATATATGTATATAGTACCAATAGTATAGTATATTACTAACAAATGGAGTAGTAGAAAAAATATTCAGTTTTTGGCACCATCCTGAACGTCCTTTCCTTGTGGGGGTTTTTTTTTATGGATGATAATGGAATGGTACACCTTGCGCTAACAGTTTACGCTGGCGGGACACCAGTGGAGTATGATAAGATGAGCATGAAGTCAGGTCAGTTAGCCCATCGTGACAAATTCACCAAGAATTTATCACGATGGTTCCCAGGGGGAACCGCGTGGAGGTCAACCTGACATGGTACATTGCTAGCAATAAGATAATCAATCTACATTACTAACAATCCCCACAAGGAGGGGGCCTTGTGGGGATTAGACCCATAGCTAGTAATGTACCATGTCGGTTCGACCTCCACACGACCTTTTCTGGAAATTATCGAAGTTCATTCTATATGGATAAAACAGCCACGATGCGCTAACTGTCCTGACCTCACGCTCGTCTTGGCATTCTTCAGTGATCGTCAGTATGTAGTGGTAGAATAAAATAAAACATGACTATTCATATTATCATTATCATATATTATTTCAAAAAATATAATTTATATTTCTCTAATTAAATAGTCTGTTGTATTTCCGTCGCCGGAGTGTGAGTTAGAGAGGAGGGATATAACTATCCCAATTTTTTTTCGTGTCTGCCAGATTGGAAGTCACGATCTTTGATGTATGAATCCGACAGGAATCGTTAGAAATAAAAGCCAATATAAACATTAACACGTACTTTATTTCAATATTACTAGACTAAACTAAGCCATATTTCGCCGTCGCTAATAACTAAAATATGAAAATTAAGCCATTTCCTTTTAAACTATTTGCCGTTGAATTATAATTAATTTTCTCATAAGATCACCCCGCCATACATTGGTAATCCTTTAACGTGAAAAAAAAAATATTCTTAGTTCCTGATACTCACAGTAAACAACATCATTTCAATTATATTATCATAGACCATAAGAAAACAAACTGTACGAGATAGAATAGGACAGCAAAATGTGGTGTCTCAATTTTTAACAACCTACAAATACCTGCAATAGGTACGAACTTTTCGTTACATCCAATACTCTAAATATATCTTTTAATAAGCTGACGGCCCTCATGTAAGTAGTCACCATCGCTTATTGACATGAATAGATCCGTAGACATCACAGTATAATATCCTGTGACGCCAGTGATATTTTCATGTGTTATAGTTCCTGACGGTTGAGATAATTTGCCTCCTTACTTCCATTCTCCCAAATCCTTTGGAATATACCAAGCTAGAGAAAGAGAAAGAGATTCTTAAGATTTTGTCCGTCTCTACTACTGAAGCTAATATTATAAAGACAAAATGCCGTCCAAATAAGAAGTTCATGTGTCAACCACACAAATAATCCTGATTAATGGATTATTATCACTTAGGAAATTGTATAACTTCGACTGCAAAATGTCATCTCCAATATATACCGATTATAGCTACGCTTTATAAATGCTATTCCGTTGCTACAAGGCTGAATGTTGATAATTGTCACACTTCGAATTATGTATCACCTATACATCACGGTACACATTAAGAGTGCGGTAGATGGTCGTCAAAATGTGACAAAGGATGGGTCAATTTTAATATCTACATTTGATTAAAAATATTGGCGGGTATAATCTGTGACAGCGTTCAGCGCTACAGACATAATCTGTCTTTTGTATTTTTAATATATACATCTACTTAGAATGTTCTTTTTGACACAATAGTGTCAGTGATTTGCAAAGCGTCATGAAACTAATTCAAATTTATCATAACTTCATAATATATTCAACTTAATAATGACTAAAGATCTTTATTAATAAAGTAAATTACATTTTTATAACACATTGGCAAAATCATCGGAACTCCGATGGAGTCATTGCGTAAAAAAAATAAATTCTGACATATTACGTACAGAATTAAAAACAATAATAAATTATTTGTATTTTATATGTAGAAATTAATGAAGAATGAATTAAATAAATAATTATTATGTAAGTTATATGTTTTAATGATTATTTATGACACCATTAAAAATACTAATACACAAATTTCAAACGACTTTGAAATAGGCATAAACACGATATTTCATTACAATGTTAATAATCAATGAAGATCCATACAATAACATATAAACATTATTGTCTTATATAAATGTACCCTAAATATCTAGTAAATTTAATATTAAATCAATAAAAAAACTGTAGTTTGTATAGTCTTATAACTTATGATACTCGAACAGCATTTATACAATGCTTTTGCCTTCTCAGATCTGGTTATGGTCTATACGGTTTATTGAATTAATTAATGAAACGAGATAGAGGGCTAATATGATCACGGTTCATTTGAAAAAAGAAAGAATCCGTAACTGTCATTAAAAAAGATTTAGTATCTTTTTTAATGACATCCAGTCTGATATCCAGTTTAATAAATAGATATATTAGGCAACTGGAATATTGATTGGTATATTTCCGCAAAATTTCTATATAAATACAAACACAAAAGCTATAATAAGCGGATGCTTATAATTATTTCTGCGTAAAATGATAATGATGTCAAATTTCTTTGCCATTAAACTAAAACATAAATCAATAATTTCCAAAATAATATACAACCATGCCATTCTAAGGGAAAATAAATATAACTAAAAATAAAAAAAAATACTCATGAAAACGATCCTTGTCTTTATTAAAAGTCTATACGTAAAATATTCTAAAAATAGCATCACATAATTAGCCGATAAGAACATTGTAAATTGTTTATAAATAAAATTTACAAGAAACAAAGATTCAAATAATTTTACACATTGCATAAATAAAACAACAATACAACATAATACTAAAAATAAAGAAAAGAAAACTAATTGATAGTTATGCGGTCCAATTTTAATGTCCGTTGTATGGCTATGTATGTAAGGCTACAGAGATGTATAGATATGTATCTATATGTATAATCTACGTAGCCTTACAATGCATTAATTAATTATTGTTACAATAACTTAAAATAATTATTCGTAGCCTGCGACTATTACTGTAGTTCCGCCGTTACATTACCTTTATCAATAACACGTTCAACTATCAATAGTTTCCATTTAAAGAGAAAAAGCTTTTGTTGAACCTATAGTTAGTTAGGAACTGCGAATATCAACATTTCTACATAGTGATTGAGCTCATAAATCTTAAAAATTTGTCATAATTATTTTTATACGAATTTAATAGTTGACATAAAAATTTAGATAACAAGGAGTCCGAATTGTAAATGAATGTAAATTGGTTAAGTTTATTTCATGTACACGCCTATAAATGTATTAAATTTGAGAAATATTTATAAACATATGGTGTAGATTGCCTTGACTTAGTTATTTTAATAACTTAACCATTAGTAATGCAATAAGAAATTATAATTGAACATTTTGTATCTGAAATACTTTTATTATTATGTTATAATTAGATTTTCAACATTTTTTACGCTAAAGGCGGTGCCCTGGTATATATTAGACAGATGATAGTCCGCAATTAGCGTCTTCGTACAAAATACAAGAGATTACAAAGCGGTTGATTACGCTTGAGTGAGATTCATCCTAATTATTTTATTTTTTCAGCATCATATAAAAGTTTTAAGTAAAATAAAGAGAAATCATTTACCAAGACACTATTTCAGTGTGGTAAAGTAATTCTTATTCTCTTTCTTCTTTGCTTCTATAAGTAGTTTATAAATATTCAACCATTTCCACTTCATGGAAGTATGTTATAAAATTCATTTTATGAATTTAATTAACAAAACATTTGACAAATTTTGAATATATTTAAAAAAGACGTAGAAGTATCACATCAGCAAGCTGTGAAAATATTTTTTTGTACGAATGATTCTGTTTTTCAACATTCCAATAATATTTTACGAATGTCAGCAAACTGATTGATAACCGAGATGATAACAATGAATGTTTTATTAGCATTGTAGCGCTAATGAAATTATTTTTATCGTCTCTCTTAAATAATGATAATTCATTGGAATTTATTAGCTCTTTGATTCATTGACATTCGTTTGATCGAAATTTTAAATAATTATATTGTTCACTATTAAAATGTAGTAATTGATTAATTTATTGTCAAAACCTAAATAACATGCAATGCGTAAATCATTATAAGTTAAATTGACAGTTTCATTAATGATATTTTAGCTACATAGCTACAATAATCATAAATTAACCATTCACAACATTTATAAGTAATCATTTATTTCTCAAATCGCAACGTTTAATATTTTGCGTAATGAAAATTAAATAAGAAACGAGTCAGTGCGACCGGCGCGTGTTTGAATTCATTAATTCACAATCATTAATCTATTCACACAATAAAATACCGATCCCAATACACTACTGAAAATTTAAACCTCCTAATATCATATTCTAATAACAATACTACAGAATCCGACATATTATTGTCTGAACAGAAGTTGAAAATTCCGCCAGTCATCCTAGGATGGTATTACTAAAACCAAATTTCCGTGTAATTATATATTTTTACCTAAAAGCAAAATGAGAATGAGTGCAAACACGCACGAAGGGCGACATTTGTCATAATGACAAACTTATCTTTTTTATCTGTTTTACATATTCTATCTTCTCAGATCTGTCAGAGTCCCTAAAGACCAGTGGACACTTGCTCACGATTCGAGTATGCTATTAGCAGCAGGTTAACTTTTGACAAATTCAAATTGAAATCATGTCGAATAGATGATAAAAAGAAACGCTATTTATCTTTTTTTAGCATTATCGAATATTTATTTCACAGATACGTTAGATCATTTACGTTCCAGTAACATAGCTTATATCGGTCGTGTCTAAAAAAATATTCTTATTTGATTTCCACTTAAACACTTTCAAAGTCAGCAATAAACTCGCTTGAAAGTGTCTGCTTTCCGTAACCTCTGCTCAGATATTGAAAATAATAAATAATAACCTAATCGACATGAGATTGTCAGACGACTTTCAAAAGTCTGTACAACAAGTATGGAGCGGAGCTAAACTGTTGAAATGAAGTTTGTCATATTGACAAATGTCACATATGTGTGTTGACAGATATTGAAGGGTTGTTCTGATTTGCGGTCATTACAAACATATTTCTAAACAAATAAATAATTAAACATTAAAATAAATATGGCGGTACCTACATTTTGAATACAACCCTGCAATACAATTATCGGAATTACTATAATTATAGTTACAAGGACGTAAAAACTCAATGACTATTCAACACATAATAATTGTTTATAACAGCGTACTACGTAACCCTACTGATGTAAGCGTTGATAAATTAAATTCGTTAATAAATAAAATACTGAATCAAGCACTAAATCAATTTATACACTTAAATTTAGCCATATCTCACACTGTCCATTCATACTATGGGATTAGGTCGTCGTCCAGGGACACTGCACTCGAAAACGAATCCTAAACAATTAGTTACAAGTTCAATTTTGAAATCGCAATATTCACTGGACTCAATTTGTCACGCTACAAGCGTGTGAACCGTACAACGCAAATTAGACTATAACGCAATGATTGAAGGCTAAGATTTACACGGGCGTGTATTTGCCTTCAGGTTTGTATAAGACCTGACCGGTGAAGATACGACGGAATATTTCCTTGAGGATGAGTCCCTTCTCTTTCTTGATTTTGACAAGGAAGCCGCGGTTCTCGTTGGCACGCCGCGATAAGTACGGCAAGACTTCCAACACGGGCCCATATGGCACGTACTTGTAAGCCGAGTAGCCTGCTTGACCTGGAATGAAGAGTTACCATAAATTATTATCTACAAGCTGACCCACCCGCACGACTTCGTCTGCATCACACTTATAATTATGTATTGCCCAAATTACATAATATCTTTTTAAATTATAGCCTGTGGTGCCCATGTATATGGGCGACAGTTACCACTTACCATCAGATGGACAGACAGCCTATTTGCTATTCCAATTACATGAATAAAAAACATTGAATTCAAACTTACCAGGCAAAATGTGGGCATGTTTAGTATTGCGTTTACTATAACGTCAAGAAATGAGAATATCTATTGATATTAAGTGGGTACTTAATATCAATAGAGGCTCTCGCTCAAATGACCATAATTTATTTTTTATTTTTTAAGTTTTAGAAAGCTCTAATTAGAAAAAAAGTAGTTATATAAAAGTGTATACATACCTAATGGGAAGGTGATGTGATCGCACATGCCGAGCAGCTGTCCGAAGCAGACCACCTTATCATCAGGCTTTATATTGTGCTCCTTCATCAATTGAATGGCATATCTGACCGTATCCTCGTTGTGGGAGGCCACCATGATGCCTAACCGACCTTTCTGCTCTGCCTGAAATGTTAATCATTTTCATTAACATTTTGAAATATATATAAATATTTTATTAAATAATATCATTGGTCAAAATGTTAAGGTATATTGCTAGCATGTTGACCAATGGTAAGTCGGGTCAACCTCCATTCGGTTCCCTCTGGAAACCTTTGTGATTGATCTCTAAGAAATTCGCCACGATGGACTAACTGACTTAACTTCATTCTCATCTTATCATCCTCCACTGATGCCCCGCCAGCGTATACCGTCAGCACAGGCTGGTTGCATCACGTCATTAAAAAATATATTAATTTACTATCCGTATTCTCCGATGCTATGCCGAAGTAAACTAAACTAAAAAGTGTCCTATGTGTTAATCTAAGATATATTTTATCTGTATACTAAATTTCACTTTAATCCATTCAATAGTTTATTGTATAATATTATATTTATCTTACAAAAACCTTATGTATACATTTGTATTTGTGAATTATACATCTTATGTACTTAATTTATTGAATGAAACTACTAAAATATTCATAATTGAACATTAATCATCTAAATCTCATTACAAAGTACTGAATTACTAAATACAACAGGAATGTTACTACTATTCAATAAATCTATAATAAGAACAATGTTTATCGAATAATATGTGTTTTGTAGAAATTACGAAATGTGCCTAAATAATACATATGTAACAAAAAATCTAATTGTACGCATATGTCGTAATTAGATTGTAGAATTGATCATATCATAGTCTAATATTTGACTATATTATAAAAATCTAAGATATAAAGCGATGTGAGCTTTGATCGATTAATGATAAGAATTACTAAACACGCCTATTTTATTAAAACGTTAATTATATAATAGTAAAATTAGCTGTCTATCAATGTGTTATATGTAGAATTAAGTACACGTGGCTACCGAGGAAGCACGTTTGTGATTAAGATATAAAATTACACGAAAATACTCATACATTAAAAGGTATCAAACGGCACATTAATGTGTTTACATAACTACATTACTTTGTGATATTTACAATTCTGTAATCTGGCCACGACATATGAAGTTTCCATAATAATTGTTTTATTGAAAGATATTTGTTTAACAATCTCCATATATTTTGAGATATCGTATACTACATCAAAATACGTAGTTACGGTGCATTAAGACCTAAATACATATTTATACCTTGCGTTTCTCTTCGTCACTTAATTGACTAGTAGATTTCCTTGACATCTGCCAGGCAAAGAGCAGCGTAAATAGATACAATTTAGGTTGAATTTAAAAATATATTGTAATTATATGTTGACTAATAATTTCTACATACAGTAGCATATCTAATGTTTAAAGTAATGTTGGTTAGATATCGTAAGCGCAAACATGCGAATCATGCCTTATCCGAGTTAGATATATATTAGATTAGGTAAGGCATCGCTTACTCCAGGAATACATTGTTTGACCAAAGATCTTCTAATTTAAATCTGATGCCTTACCAAGGAACATACTGATTCGCCAGAGGTACAGAAAACTTTACATATAATTTTGTATGTTCCCCCAGCACTACGCCTAGTATAGACAAATGTACCATAGAGTAGCCATAATACTTTTTACAGTACATTATATGGAAGGTAAATTATGCTAAATTAAGGCGCGTAATGCCTTATTTGTGTTAGATGATAATTATTACAAATACACACAACAGGCATTGGAGACAATAAATGTCTTTAATAAAATGTTGTTCATGTCCCCACCTCGTTGTGCCTTATGTATTTATGGTGGACAATACTATGTAAGGAGTAGATAAGCAAGGTTAATCATGCAAAATGAAAAGGGACGACTATAACTTTTCTAGTCGTAATACAGTTAATAAAATTTTGTAAAATTCTAAACAAAAATATATTTAGGAACTTGTTATTATTTTATGATATGATTTAAACTGTACAATTATGATTATTCATTAAAATTGAAACCATTTGAAAATATCAAATATTTTAAAATATTCTATATATATATAACTTTTGATACTAAAAAACTATATATAACTTTTAGTTTTAGTGATCGGTGTTTTGTTAATTTCACTGCGTTTCAGTAACTCGGTTTCTACTTAGAGTTTTAGCGATTCAGCGAAGTTTACTGAAAATATTATGTCACTTGCAATGAACCAAGTCGAGATTTCCACCACATGGTTTCCCCTGAAAACCATCGTGATGATTTCCTGGAAATTTTATCACGATAGGCCAACTGACCTGACCTCATCCTATTATCCTCCACTGGTACCCCGTAATCGTATACCGTTAGCGCAAGCGGACGTGCACCATTCTATAATCATTCAATAAAAAAAATAGATATACCTGCAGTAGGCATATACAGTAATACAGCTTACCCTGCTCAGAATCTCCTTTAGACATTTGTGGAAGGATGTTGTAGTGGCTTCAATATTCTCGCAGGATGGGTCTTCGTAGCCCATCGCAGCTGCCCTGGCGCGTTCCTGTAATTATAATATCGAAAATAAGTGAAAAATTACAAGTCAAACAGAATTTTTACATATAATAAAAATACAACTAATCGCTGTCTGTACACGGAAGATCCAAGAATCTTTATTTTGATATCTTATATAATATCTTCTTTATTTATTATATTTTATGTTTAATAACTTGTAGAAAATTGTCGTAAGATGTTAAGTGCGCCATATGTCCTTGTACTTTGCTAATATGTGCATTGAAGTTATATAATAATAATAATAATATATATATATATATATATATATATATATATATATATATATGAGAATAACTATTATTGGAGGCAGTTATCTGGTCTGAGGTTTTTCTATTTATATTAAACTAGTCTAGTTCCGAACTAAACAAACCTAGATCATAAATCTAGGTTTGTTTAGTTCGGAACTAGATGGCGCTGTGTAAATTGGACAAGTTATTATTATTGTTTTTATTCCTTAATATTTCTTGAAACTTTCGGTATGTAAACCTTAGAACGTTTCTGGTAAGTAATTCTATTGAATATGTATTAATATATAGATATATATTGATAATTAAGATTATTTCAATTATTTTCTTATCAATGTTAGTAGCTGACCTGTTCTATATACGCGCCGCGCACCAGCTTCGCTCCCCAGTAGAAGTTCTGCCGCTGGGCCTGCTCTAAATCGGTGACGATCTCGTTGTACGTATTCTTCAGGTAGGTCTGGTAAGTGTTGAATACTAGGAACTTATCCTGTTGGAGAAAAATTCATCATCAGCATAAGAGAAAATTTACCATTGAATTAACTTTTAGACATTTGAAATTTCATTACGAAATGTGTGTCGTATTAACAGCCTTTACAGGGACATGTTTTTTCACGCGTGATCAGGACCGTACGCAATTTAGCGCGGGAATGCCAACGAACGCCATTATTTCGCGTATGTTTCATTTCATTTTATTTTACTATTTTAATTTCCAAAGACACATTTACGATTTATAATTATCAATAACTCTATAATTGTCTTTGCTCGATAGTTAGATGTCCGCCATTTTGCAATGTTAATTATAAAAAGTCGCTAAAGCATGCCTTATTGAAGGACGCGTGAATGCTATTAACATTATAAACGCGAAAGCTTGTGAATATGGATGAATGGATGAAGTTACTCTTTCAGGCAAACACACTGTACTGATTTTGCTGAAACTTTACAGTAATAGGTATATCTTATACATCAGAATAACACATAGGCTAGAATTTAAAAAGATATCATATAAAATGAGCGAAATGTCATGATAAATGTCAACTAAGTGCGATGAAGTCGAAATTGCGTGGGTTAGCTAGTATTAAATAAACTAACGGTCCATGGTCGAATGTGTCACGGATACGAAATTCCATCACGTGGATCGTCCCACGTGATGGAATTTGGTATCCGTGACACATTCACTCGTCTTATTTTACATTCGAATTACATTTGTTATCTTTTAGACATGTACATCGGACCTTTATGGACCTTTATGGACACCCATAATGGGTAAGAATATGCCATGGATACCAAATTCCATCACGTGGGGTACACTTAGAATGTGAAATAAGATGTCGAATCTTATTTCACATTCTAAATGTATACACGACTTTTATTATTTATTTATTTCAATACTAGCTTTTAGCCGCGGCTTCGCATTGAATACATTAAATAACTTCATTAGGCACTGTCTGCTAGATGGCGCTGATTTATAATTGATTTATAACTTCATTATTGGCTGCTAGACAGCGCTGAAGTAGCAAAATGTTGATATTTTATTTTTTTGTTTCATATAAAAAATATTTGTTTTTTTTAATAAAAAGTATCCTATGTTCATTCTAATACCTCTAAGAACATGTGTACAAAATTTCATCTTGATGGGTTCAGTACTTTTTGCGGGAAAGCGTAACAAATATCCTTACTTTCACATTTATAATATTAGTAAGAATTACAACACCATACCAGGCAGGTCATGTTAGAATGTGGCACGGATATCGAACTCCATTCTAATCCTTGTTGTTAATTAAATATAAGTAAATCAATATTTATTTAAAAGAGCAACACACAAGTTTCTTGCTTATTCTTCTTGTGATGATTCTGCATTCCGAATAAGCGGTAGAATAAAAAAACTTGACTATTCAAAAGTGCCCAGTACCCATTAAGTTTATTTGAATAACGATTATTTCTATTTCTATTTCTATTTCCATCACGTGGGTCGTTAGCTTATTTCACATTCAAATTGTATACACGATCTTATGACATTACACTACACTACATTACATTGTATATAACAAGACCTTAGAACCCTAAGTGTTCTTGTATAGTGCAGTTTTAGAGGAGCTTCCTCGAGTGTACACTTAGATTGTGGAATGAACTACCTGCCGAGATTTTCTCACGAGATTACAGCATGGGGTTTTCAAGAAGGGTATATTAAAGTTTCTCAAGGGTCAGCAAAGCGCATGTGATACCTCTGGTGTTTCAAGCGTCTATAGGTTACAGTAACTATTTACCATCATATAGGCCGTAAGCTAGTCTGCCACCATCGTAGTATAAAAAAATCTTAAGACTTGCACTCCTTTATGGACGGGACGCCCAAGGTGGGTATTCCACAAAACACATTACATAGTTAACCGTATACTCACTTTGTTATACCTCCTCATCATTTCCAAACAGATCCTGGATATGGCAGGTTGGAAGTAAGTCTGCTCAGCATCAATCATGATCCTCACATCTACTTCGTTGGCCGCTTGGATGATGTGGTTCAAACGTCGGAGCATGTTTCTGAACATCTCCTCCTCCTTGGGGGATATTTGGGAGATGAGACGCCTCATTTGCCCAGTCTTGGGGTCCGGCACTCGGAACGAGTCGGATAAACCCATATCCTTGTCGAGAATGTTCGACCAGGGGAACAGGTGCACGATTCTGGAATTGGATAAAATTGTGTTGTTATTAATATTCTCAGGATTAGGAACAGGTGCACGATTCTGGAATTGGATAAAGCTGTGCTGTTATTAATATTCTCAGGATTAGGGAGATAAATAGAGTTGCCAGTTATGGGTACTAGAGGTCCCATTCCTAGCGTAGCCAATAAGAAATAGTAATTAATAATAGTAAAATAGGAATTATTCAAATAAATATTTTTTTCACATTATCCAATATCCCTATTGATTACTACAGTTAACTACTGCAGTTGAGAAGAATTAGGAGTAATTCAAATGGAGAGCTTTTTTATTTCATTAATAATGAAGCATACAATTTTACGAAATCAAATCAAAATGTCTTTATTAATATTACAGACTCTCATAATATTCCAAATCTATCGTCAGTTCTTGTACATGACTATAAAAATATTAAGGATTTTAGATTTATTTTTAAATTAGGGAGAAATTAGTGCCCATCAGCATATTTTATTGCCTTTTGTCAATTAGAAATAATATAATCAGTGGCCGTAACTCAAACAGACCAGTCTCCACTCTCCACAAGTACCACCCGTTCATGAGTATGTCGGATAAGCCAGCAATCATGCACTCAACCACATTCGGAGCACATTGACCCGGCCCACCACGCCACGTGTAACTAAATAACTTCAAAACCAAATTAATCTAGAATACAACTGCACTGGGGGTGTACGGTCAAAAATAGACAATAGGAAGATGTAAGTAGTTACCATCTATTTTAAATTCATGTTAACAGGTGGCCTGTGTGTAACAGGCCTTGTGGGTGCACAGTAACCTGAGCCCGACGTTTTTATTACCACGACGCTAAAAACTACTCTGTACTGAAAATGTCACTCATTAAAATAAATAAAATAATTACATTGTTATGTATAATTTATGTTATAGTATAGTATATTTATATTTATTGTATAATTTATGGATAGGCCCTAGTGTCGAAATGAGATTAAAAAAAAGTTTTATGTTTACAGTTTTAAAAAAAACTATTCTATGGAACGTGAACCTGTTAATAAACTAATGCAATTAGAATTGAACATTTTACACAAACTGTCGGAGCCAAAAAAAGAGAAAAAAATGAACATTTCGTACTAGACATGTTGTGATTTTTTTAAATTATAACTAGTCATTCATTAAAGGAAAGATTTCCGTGCAGCCTAATATAGATGTGAATTTAAAATTATAATTTCTTTACATTATATTCCTCTGTAAGATCAACTGATCACTCGGAAAGTATTATTCGTAAATTTTGGAGCTTATTTAACAATTAATTAACATTTTCGTAATCTACTAGTACTGTTTCTGTAATTATATAGGCTTTGGCTCAACAGCCAATTAAAAAAAAATCAAATATAGTTAAATATTACTAGCCTAGCTATTGGAATTTGTGACCGGTCTCGTACAAATTTAAGATAAATAAACTTTACTAAAGAAAATAAAGTTGTAATCAGATGGGCTATGCTTGTTTGCCAACATCGTCGCATAAAAAAACAAAACGACCATTCTGTCTTTTTTATTTTGATATATAAACTTAAAAATACTTGACCGATTTCAAATTTACTACACGTACAGAAAGCTTCAAAACTAGCTAGTAACATAAGCTGTCCCGCGGACAGCGCCGCAGTATATAACTAGTTATATAAATTGCAGTACAAGAGGCATGACATCTTAATCCTTTGGAATAGCAACGCATGAGTGGTATCACGGTGTCCTATGATAACGTGATGTGATGTAACGCTGTTCAAGTATGTAGGTGTCGGACGATTACCATCAAGTTACCGTTATTATGTTTGCCATTCCAAAAAAAGATTGTTACAACACTGAATCAATTCTTAACACTCCGTTGTATAGGAAGGTGATATACTAAATTATATATATATATATATAAATTGTAGTACAACATATATATATATATATATAGGTATAGTTCAACATTGTAGTACAATAAACTAGTAGCCAAATGCCTCACAATGTATGCGAAGCATTTACAACTGCTATGGATAGACATACTATCGTTCATTCACCTATAAACTTGACACACGGAAACCTTTGCCTAATTATAAACTAGCCAAACAAACTTTTCGGTTGTTTACACACTATATAATAGGGACACATGTTGTTTACACATTTACCGTGATTGTTTCATTTATGAACGGTCGATATTTCGACGTAGTTACAATCGTTAAAGTAAAGTATTAAATTTTTAAATTTAAGTATAGTAACTGTTGTAGATTTATTTTATACCTGTATAGGTAAAAGGAAAACTATAGAAAAATACTGAATACGCAGATATATATTAAGAAACTATTGTCAAGAAAGAATTGTAGAAGTATAATAATGACTGCTAACTATAAAAGAGCTATAAATTTAAATACAAACTCTAGAATAAAAAATACATTTTTGATTAGCCAGATACACTAACATAGACTAAGTTCATTGTTAATAACAAAAATGTATCTAACTAATGTAAATAAATGAAATTATTACTATTAAGTACTTACTTTATCTATTATCTTTTAATCTTAGTAGCAGGAGGTTCTAATTATAGATATAAATCTAGGTCACATTCGAACTTTCAGTAACAGCATTACATAATTTAGCCGCTAGGGTTACACGCTTGCAATAGCATCGAAATATCGGTAATTATCCTATTTATATAATGTGTGTAATGAACTAGCGAAATACTCGAGACGTAACGCTTACAACAGAAAATGTCTCCACTGACCGACCCCATGGGAATATGTGCAGGACGCTGTAAAGTAAACAGGAAAATAATATACTGTTCACGTCACGGCTCATCGCAGATCGTTCGATTCGAGTATAATACAAACATTTGTATTGGATTGTATTATTTGTATTGGTCTGGGCGTTGTATTAGATCTTATTAATATTAGAAATGCAAAAGTTTGTGAGTATGGATGCATGTTTGTTGCTTTGTCACGCAAAAACTATTGAACGGATTTATGATGAAACTATGCAATAATATAGCTCATACATCAGAATAACACATAGGCTATAAATTTCACGTGGTGAATCTGAAGTTATAAATATATTTCTAAATCTAAATATTTCTATCAGTTGTCTAGCAGGACATATAATTAAATATTATAAAATGTCGAAATCATGGTAAAAGTCAACACTTGACATATTCATATTGCTAGGGGGGAATGGAATTGCTAGTAATTTGGGCTGGTTCATGCATTGCTAACAATGTACCAGGTCAGGTTGAACTCCTGGAAACCATCGTAATAAGTTCCTGGTGAATTTATCATGACTGACTAACTGACCTGAACTCATATTCATCTTATCATTCTCCACCGGTTAAGCCTGCAAAAATCATTAACGCAAGCGGATGAACCATTCCATTATGATCAATTAAAAAAAACATATCAGTACATATATTTAAACCTAACGTTGAACCTACTACTAAATTTTTATTATACTGCAGCAAGAGCTTTTCAAGAAGGGTATATTAAGGTTTCTTAAGGCTCGGCAACGCGCACGTGATACCCCTGGTGTTTCAGGCATTCATAAGCTACGGTAACCGGGGCCGGGGGGGGGGGGGATGGGCCGTATGCTTGATTGCCACCATCATAGTATAAAAAAAATCCTTTTAATCGACTTTTCCCATCTTCGGAGAGTCGGTTAGCAACTCGTTTATTCAAAACTTAAGAGCCATGCTCTTATCGGTGAAGTTGTTTTCACTTCCCACGATCTTACATCATTCTTTTTAAATGCCGAGTCGACCTTAATTTTCCAGTCAGTCAGTTCCTAGAAATGGAAAATCGTTGGAGTGGGACAACTCATTTTTCGGACTATTGTAATGCTTTTGAGCATAGCTCACGTTTACAGCTTCACCGGACAAAATGGCGTAGAAGACTTTCCAAACTCGCTGAGGACTATCATACCAGCGGAAAGATCTGCCTGAGAGAAGCCTGAGAGACGCCACTTTAGCCTGGGGGCATCACTAGGGTTTAGAACATCGACTAAGGCTATCGATATTTCTATCCCAGTTGGAATAGAACAGAGGACCGATCGGAGAATACAAAAAGTGTGACATAACACTCATTAAAATATTTCAGGTGACTGAGACAGCATCGATGTGATTGTTGGACGGTCTCCAAAACGATGACAACTTCGCGAGCTAACAAACTGGTTTGCTGTAATCGTTATAGGCCGCGAGGCAATGACTTCTTTATGTAATGTACAAGATACAAATATAAATGTCATTGAAAGAAATAATTTCTATTTGTTGTACAACACCCATGAGAATAATAAACTTCCAACGTAACAAACAAGTATTGAACTGTGTGACTAGTTAATAAAAATTGGTTTAGAATTAAGAATAAAAATACAAATTATTTGAGAAACATTTTGAAGTTAGTTGGACTCCAGTTACTCTTAGAATAAGTAACATAACTCATATCGTTTAAGATATCGTCATTACATAGTATAAAACAAAGTCACTGTCGCTGTCTGTCCGTCCCTATGTATGCTTAAATCTTTAAAACTATGCAAAATATTTTAGAAGCTTTTATTTTAATAGATAGAGTGATTCAATAGTAAGGTTTATATGTATAATACATGTACACCCGTGCAAAGCCGGGGTGGATAGCTAGTTATTTAATAAAAACAAGTGCAACCTAGTCAAAAAGTCGCACGATGTAAATATATTATTGAATTCTTCGTATTAAGTCCTAACACACAATATAAATCGAATTCCACTTGAAATCATCGTATTTCAATCCTGTTAGATATGTATTCGCTACAATAGTCTAATAGATTTGAGTCCATCCTCACCCAATCATCCTCTCCTGGTATCTCGTCAGTGTATTTCATTAGCGAAGGATGTTGCATGCCCGACAGGGTGCAACCGTTGATACATATACTATATATATTATACTACCTACAAATTAATCTACCCACACAGTAAGAAGATTTATTCTATTCTATGGAAGTACAGCTACATAACAAAATAAGTAGAGTACTATGTTCTTCTTTACTTCTTTGTTCTGTAACTCCAGCAGTCAATATTCCTATATTAAAAAAAACATTAACAGCATTTCAATTTAAGCTCTCTGCCTGCTTTTCCAAGTAATGTCGCAACAGAAACTATTGTCATTACAATTGCGTCACCGCAACTAAAAAATCTCGAAATAGTCAGATTGGACTCTTAATTTAGATTTCTTTAATGTCGCTATGCTTAACAATTGACAATTATTAATAGAGATAGATAAAATTAACAAAAGCACGGACCGCTGTCTGTGGAAAAAACAAATAAAATAAAAAAAAAGTGACAATTGACGAGACAGCAGGTCTGCTGTGGAGTCTAATCTGAAGATTAATTTCAAGCCAATACATTCATATTTTGTCCTTTTCAAATGTATCATTAAATAGAATATATTTATAACAATTTTAGTTAATGCTTTCATTGCTTTTGACCACGTTTCATATTCATTGCTCCATATTTGGAATCAATAATAATAATATTTATTTATTTCAGGCTTATTTTAGCCTATTTTATTAGCAAATTTTACGCAACCCAATCTTATTGGATAGGAATTAGTTCCCAATACCAGACAGGGAAATGGGATTGTTACTAAGGGCAACTGGTAGTCCCAATGCTAGCAATATGCCTACCCGGCCTGCACGGGATCCTTCTAGAAACCATCATGATTAATTCTTAATGAATTCACTACGAGCGACTAACTGATCTGACTCTATACTCATCCATCATGCATGCTCCACTAGTAAACAGACCGCGCATAGCCTAACCATATTCAGCCAATAAAAAATCATGTACGAGATAGACTAATACTAGTCGGTCGTAATTCGTCCATAATTATTTTAACTTTCAGTAAGACCATAGACAAACAATATTAAAAACAAACATTATTCATCTATTCTCAAGTTAACCACAGACTAACAATAAACAAAAGAGTACATAAGCGTGTGTGTGTTAAAAACAATGGTAGTGTGTGTAATGTTTTTCTTATTGATGTAATATATTTATTATCCATAGTTACAAAAAAATGTTAAAATTCCGCACTTTTCTTTATATAAATTATAAGAGTGAAATTGCATACTCTTTCGTGCGCGGAATTTTTGTAAAAAGGGGTACAAAGTTTTTGCTTGACGTATAAATATCTGATACAAGTTCTTAAGAGCCATCACTACCTAAGTTTGACATCGTCTGCATAATCTGTCAATTAAAAAGAATGCAATGTTTATTAATAACTACTTAAATACTGTTCTGACTAGCTGTTATTGCGAACTAGGACGTTTTTTTAGAATTTAATAGATAAACCTTATTGTTTCTTCGATTCTCTATTATATTACTGTTAATCATGCAATAACATTTTCATTAAACTAACATTGAAAAACAACATTTTGATAGCGATAAAATGTACTTGTAAACTACAAAATCAAAATATAAAATTTGTGTTATTTTTTTACTAGTATATCCTTAGTAGACATATTTTTTTATTATTAGATACGTAGGTTTTGATTGGTTTGCTATTTTTAAATAACTGTTAACAAATATTGTAAAATATTTAATCGTATTACAAATTTCACAGACATCGCAGTATTCGAGATATCTGTGGTAATTTTTTTCATATAAACATACATAATATATTGAAACCAATACGAACAGCTGTACTACTCAATTAGTGTGTTGTGTAAACATCGAACCAGCGACTTTTGGAAGGCGAGGTAGTTTGTTAAACCGATAAACTAAATAAGACGTTATTAATCTTTACTATTATTTGTAAACTATAGGTTAAACGTATATATATGTATACGTAAGAGAAAACTTTGCATTTATTTTTTTTTCCCAAAGAAAAATAAAAAAGTATTATTTCTCATACACCACACTGCATTGCTACACTATAGACAAAAAAAAATCTACACAATAGTCTGTTTACTGTAACGAAAATTGAAAAAGAAAGCACTACTAAGGTCTATAAAAAAACCCGTCCCGATTTCGCACAGGTCTACATGTATTATACATATAAACGTTCCTTTTGATACACTCAATCTGTTAATAAAAACTGCATTAAAATACATTGCGTAGTTTAAAAGATGCTTAGATCTCTAGAACTAGAACAGAAAGCGTAATCGACTTCATTTTATAAAGATGACTTTTCTTTACTGTATGTTACATCATCATCATTATCAGCCCACTGCAGTCCACTGCTGGACATAGGCCTCTCCCAAGGTACGCCGCTGGGCTCGATCAGCTTTTCTCATCCAGTTACTACCCGCAACACTACGTTTGTCATCGCTCCACCTAGTCCTACACTACTGTATGTTACAAATAATGTATATTCTGTTCTTTACAAATAAAGCCGCCCACTGTTGCCTCTTTCATTTGTCAATGTTGTATGTTTATACATATTTATATATTAAGTGTATATAAATGTATGTTTGTATTCTGTGAAGAGAACAGTAAGGAATTTTCATAAAATATATTCTGAAACTCACCCTTCCTTATCCGAGGTGATCTTCTTCATGAACTCCTGCACCTCGGGCTTGGTGCTGTGATTCCCGAAGTACCTCTGGAAGTCCTCGATGGTCTTGTGATGGGTGAGCACGTTGCCGGTGCCACCACCGATCTGCTGCATGTAGTTCCGAGCCCGCATAATTACCTCTGATAATTGGAGCTGAAATATAAATATAGATGTAAATATAAATGACCCTGGACACTTAACACAACGTCCCACGCAGCAGAGCTTGTGTTATGGGTACTACATAACCTATATAAATACTTAAATATATATTTTTAAAAGATACGTAATATACATAGCCAGACCGATACAAACAATCGTACTCATGAATACAAATGTCTGTACCGTGTGAGGCATCGAACCCGCGATCATCGAAAGTAAAGCGGTGCGCCAAACCGCTAAGCTACCGAGGCCATCACCAGAATTATTACTTAAGATTTCTGTAGAATATTTAGAAATATATATTTCTACTAGAAACTGCCTTAGCAAAAAATTGTAAATATTATGAAAGTCCAAAACTAAACTCACCAACAACTGAGGTCTGCCGAGAGCGGTCAGTTTAACGGCCATTAGGCCTGTGCTTTTGGTAACACCTGAAACATAAGAACATCGAGACATAAAATACTAGCTAGTATCATAGACTTCGTCTGCTTTTTTCATACAAAAATCCAATCTATCGTTATGTTTATTTTTAACAAGATCCGTTCAGCCGCCAAGGTAACAACGACAGATAAACCTTTGTATTTGGATAATAAAAGCGAGCAAATCTTATAGTAGATACAAAAAATATAAAAAAAAAACAATATAAAAATAATAATATTATAAAATAAAATTAAAAAAAAAAGATTAAATACAAAAAATCCCAAATATGCCACTGGTTCCTAAGTTTCGTTAAGCAATATATTTTGTTTCAATAATCTGAATTATATATTATATCTGTAAATTTCCTATATAAAAAATATACGGGTTTAAATTCAGTCACTCGAGGGTTGCTGCCGTCGGAGTCAAATCCATCGCTGGCAAAGGGCTCGCTCAATTAGATTCATTTTCAATCCATCCAAAATAAACGCAGATCAATACAAACAATCACACTCATGACTACAAATACTTGTATCGTGCGAGAAATCATTTCTTTTTCGGACTACTAATGCTGTTGGCCGCAGCTGGCCTTTACAACATCACCGGATGATAGGGGGCAAGTGCAGATGGCACTCAAACACGCGGAAGGACTTATGGAACGGCTGAAGGCCAACTCCCGCCTGACGGATACGACTTTAGTCTGAGGGCACCGCTAGGGTTTCGGACCTTGGCTCCGAGCGTCGTAACTTAAATGTCTGTTTGAATTAGACGGGGGATCGATCGGAGGAGCACCTTGCGAGAGTATAACTCACCAGCGACAGCGTCGATACTCTTCAAGAACGCCTCCATATTCTTCTCGCAGGACGCCTCGTTCAAGTAAAAGTATGTTCTGGCGCTGGTCACTTTGTACCGGCGGTCGGCAAACCGCTGCTCCACGTGGTACTGTCTCAGCTGTCCCTCCTCCTGCTTGTCCCCGCTCTCTGATATCGAGGCGCTGGAATAAATAAAAACACCATTATAATAATAATAATAATACTAGCTGATCCCGCAAACGTTGTTTTGCCATATAAATAAAGATCGCTATTAAAAAATAGTTGAAAATTTTGGGTTGCATGTATTTTAAATCCAAATCATAAACAAACAATATCACGAAGACATAAATATTAGGCACATTGATTTAAGAAGATAAAGTATAATCCATCACGTTTAAAATAAGTAATCATAACATGATTACTTATTTTAAACGTAACTATAATCATAGTAACAGTTTATATATAACGTGCAACTGATCCGAACGAGAATAAATTATATTTACTGCTGTATATCTGTAATCCACTGAATATCTCCATCAACAAATAGCAAGTTAATCGTACTTTTACCAACATTCAGTACCGTCTTCACTAGCTTACCTTCCCAACCAGAGTGAATTACCCCCTGGAGAGGGGGAGAGGGGGGGGGAGGTGGGGGGGAAGGGGATTTTTAGTAATGTGGATTGATTATCTTATTGCTAGCAATGTACCATGTCAGGTTGACCTCCACGCGGTTCCCCTGCAAACCATCGTGATAAATTCTTGATGAATTTGTCACGATGGGCTAACTGACCTGACCTCATGTTCATCTTATCATCCTCCACTGGTGCCCCGCCAGCGTTAACCGTTAGCGCAGGTGGGTGCACCATGCCTTTATCATAAAAAAAACCCCCCTATTATTAATTATTATTATTATTATTATTACTGGCTGACCGCCGCGAACTCCGTTCAACCTCAAAATTACATAAGGAAAGGTTTTTTTTTTGATACGCAATATATTTCTGAATGCACCCTGTTTGACAGGTATCAGCTGTTTGTATGGGAAATTAAATTTGTTGTTTTTACTATATTATATGCAATTTCTTCACATTTTATCACCGTTTAAACCTTTCCTGGACTTCCACGAATATTTCAAGACTAAAATTAGCCAAATCATTTCAGCCGTTCTCTAGTAGTTTTAGCGAGACTAATTAACAGCAATTCATTTTTATATATATAGATAGATTAGTAAAACATGGTTTGACTTAGAATTAATATAATGTCACATGTACGTATTGTCAACAGTCAATGTTGAATGAATAACATAAACTAAGATTCTAAATACTAAACTACAATTACGAAAACTACATTCAGCTTATTATGTTTGTATACATGGAACTTAACACCGTCTCTCACATTTATTTATCTATATCTATACATATAAATAAAATTGGAGTGTCTGTTTGTAATATGGAAATAAACGTTTTTTACTACATGCATATGAATATAAATAGGGTGCATACACCAAAATAACATTTTTTACAATTTTTGTCAGTCTGTTTGTTTATTCCGGTTAATTTCTGAAATGGCTGGACTGAACTTGACAGAACTTTTTTTGGCAGGTGGCTGATTTATTTATTTATTTATTTACGTCACACTAAGTGAGCTTTACAGTTTCCCAATATGCCCACTTAGGAAGATTGTATATATATACACACACTTATAAAACACATACTAGTTACTAATACATACACTAATTACACAAGAAAAAAATAAAATAAAAAATAATAACAATAATAATAATCTTACTTTTCCATACTACTTAAATAATCTACTGCCATCCTACGAAACTCCAGCAAATTACTAGTAAATATGTCCTGATCCGGAAAACGACTAACAACACCGTTGAGTAGACTCAATGCCAGAGAAATAGGAGCCTGTTTGGCCAGCTCCGTCCTTCTCCATGGAACATCAAACAAGTTTCGTCTTCGTGCTTGTACGTAATTATTGGGCGCTCTTATGGACACCGATGTTAATACCGCTTGGTTACATTTTTCACCTCTCATGACTTTGACTACATATTCCAATAATGCAATCTTCCGTCTTACTTCGAGTGTGTCATGTCCCACCATCCCCAACAAAAACATAGTAGGATATATATTTGGGTATGTTACCCTATAACCATACTGCCTTTGATATATATATCGTATAAATTTCTTTTGGAGTTTCTCCACCATGAGTATGTATTTTGACTCATGAGGGTTCCATATAATTGCGTTGCTTTCTAATTTACTGCGTACGAAGATATTATATAGTATTTTGATACTCAGTATATTATCTAACTGGTTTGCCTGTCGTAATACAAACCCAAGGGTCCTGAACGCCTGAGTGCATATTGTAATAATATGACTTCGGAAAGTAAGATCATCACTCATCAAAACCCCCAAATCTCTTAGAGACCTTACCCTATTTATCGGTGTATTACCTAACCTGAAGTAAGAAGCAGTAACTTAGGCTACTTTTATATTAGAAAAATTCTGCATTTAACTTTTTTGTTAAATTCCACGCGGACGAAGTCACGGGTACAGCTAGTTTATTTATATATGTACCTACTCTTTATTGCACCAGGAAAATTACATTAATTAAAATTAACAGAGTAATTAAAAGCAAGAGGGTAGAAAAGGTAAGGGTATGCAATCTCTTCCAGACAATCTTTGAGCTTTGATTTGTTATCGGTGTTTCCATCACCGGAGAGTTAATAATTTACACAAATATTCTTACTGTTAGCCTGACTCGAACTTTGACCTTTGGATATACGTAATATCAAACCACTAGGCCATGTTGTTTATAAATAGTTCTAGCAAAAAATAATTTCAATAACACCGATCATCCATTACGGCCCACTAACTGAAAGAACAATGACCCCACTTTTTTCTCGTAAAATTATTTACAAAGGCCAAAGCTGTGGCTCTATACGTGTTTATTTAATCTATATGCATATTTTATTTAAGTCAAAGACTATGAGCAGATATGGTAAATATTCGTCGAGGGTTGACTGTGATTGCCTGTAGAATTATCATCTCTTCAAGTGGTCCTATTTTTTTAATAGATACTAATGAAATGCCGACTGCGCTAACGGTTTACGAAGGCATCAGAGGAGGATGACCAGATGAGTATGGGGCTAGGTCAGTCACCCCTTCGTGTAAAATTTATCACTATTGTTTCCAGGGGACCAATGTCAATCATATGGAGATCTTTGGGGGAGGCCTATGTCCAGCAGTGAACGTCTTCCGGGCTGCGATGATGATGATGATGATGACCAATGTCAAGCGTGCATGTCAACCTGACATGTATATCACACTAGCTGTGCCTGCGAATTCGTTCGCGCAGCACACGCAACGGAAGCCCTCAAATATCAATAACTTTGCCCGTTTTTGCATCATTTTTCACTGATGCTTCGCTTCTATTGGTCGTAGCGCAATGGTATATAACTTAAAGCCTTCCTCGACAAATGGACTATCCGACACAATGAAATAATTTTTCAATTCGAACAAGTAGGTTCCCGAGATTAGCGCGTTCAAACGAACAAACAAACTCTTCAGCTATATAATATTAGATTTATAATTACTAATTGATTTTATCTCTTGCTGTAGTTGATGCCGCTAGTATGTGTAATATTTCCTTAAACTTTCAATACTAGGTATTTTTTTTTAAATTTATTTAGGACTAAAAAACAGTAATACAATATTATATATACATACAATGTGTGATGAGATGAAAGATAAATGTATCACCAACGACGTTAATCACAGTTTACTTAAGACAATAATTATATAATCATGCAAATTTGTTTAGAGTAGTGGTGAATTTTATACAAAGTTACAAATATCGACTCAAAATGCAACTTATTTGTTATTATAAAGAAAGCGTAAAATGAAATAAAATAAAATAATAATAATTATATAAAAAAGGAATTACTAAGAATAAAAATTAACATATATTAAGTTAAGTGGGTATGTGACAAAGTCTGACCAACCATCTTTTTAGGTATGTCTAGATAGAAAGATAATCATTTATTTAGACTAGTAAATGATCACAATCTGTTGGCAAATCGATTGACAGTCCCCGACAAAATATGTTGTCTAAAAAAACGTATATTACTAGAACCCGATGAGCAACCAAGACCAATGGGCCATAGGAAAGGGGATTGTTAGTAATGCGGACTAATAACTCCATTGCTACCAAAGTACCAAATCAGGTTTACCTGCACGCGGAAATCATCGTGGTAAATTGTCATTTGCCAAGATGTGCTACCCTCATACTCCTCTTATCATCCTCTGCTGGTGCTCCGCCAACGTAAACCGTTAGCGCAGGCGGGTGCACCATTCCATTATCATCCATAAGAAAAAAATCTTACGACTTAACTATAGCGCCTACCAAGCGAACCAAACTATTATTCTGTTATTCTACTACTATTATACTATTAATAATAATAATAAATCTATTTATTGCCAACAATCCCCCTTTCCCGGTACCAATTTATTCTGGTGCCTATTGCTTGAAAATAGTATGTTCATTATAAGTCGTTAGAGTTCAATTTAGAACGGCTGGTCAAGCTATAGAATTACAATGCTTATTTTTATATTATGACCTAACATTGAAATATCAACTTAAATACAACGATTTTAGGTCCTTATTGAATGCTCTCTTGGAAATCCTTTTCCGTAAATGCCGTGCGCTGTTAGAATTTATAAATAAATATAATCACTTCTATAAATATAGGAGCAATAACCACTTTCACTCTCTACAGTACCGATTCATGCTGACAAGAAAAAACTTATATAAAATATTATTTTTCAATGTCGACCTAATTGCGACAGGTGTTGAATCTAATTCTCTTTGGCATCTAGAATCATTGTCTTCGATTCGTCTACTGTCTGTTTAACGCATGAATTCCCAAGCTTGGGCTCGCGTAATTTGTGTTGAATATTAGCGAGTAACTTAGATACTTAACGTGTTTGTACATCATAAATTTTATTTAGCTGACTAGTGGACCCGCGTCATTGAACGTTTTTTTATTTCGGACTAGTATAATGCTGTTGGCCGCAGCTGGCCTTTACAGCTTCACCGGACGAGAGGCTGTGAGTGCAGATGGCACTCCAAACCCGCGGAAGGACTTATGAAGCAGCTGAAAGCCATCTCCCGC